ATCTTTATCGAAAAACTCTAACTGGAAAGTTCCATAAGGTCTACTAAACCACGCACCCCCCATCCGTCTAAATTTTTTATCCCACTATACTTACTTTGTTTAGGAGTTCCTGAGCAACACAACGAAGCCTTCTTTTTCTCTATCAATATCTGTTGAAACAAAATGCTGGAATGATCACTTTTTACAGAAGAACTCGAGGTATTTTTCGTATGGAAAGTTTTTAGTTTCTCGTTGATAAGCAATAGAGGTATAGAGGTATAGAGGTAGACATGATAAAAAAGAAGTATTAGAATATACGATATTAAAAAATGTTACAGCGTTATTCACAGGAACCACTTACCCAAGAACAAATAAACTTTGATGGCGAATATCGTTGGTGGGTCACTAATATATTGATCGGCAACGTGACATGATTCCGTTTTTAGCGTAATAGCGTAGGGGAATTAACCCGATATAGTAGGTAGTTCGTTAGCAAACAACAGTTAAAAAAATTATCATATCCATTATTTTATATACACAAATTATTTGGGGAATCGTATTCATCAATCAATACAAAACATTGTTTTTTATAGTGACGTCGCAAAGCAGACACTATTTCACTATTTCTGATTCAGGATAGGTTGGATCTCTTTTGAAATCTCCCTTGTTCATGGGAATGTAAATTGTCAATAAGATAGTGGTGTTCATCATAAATTCTAGCTATAAGTACTCTTGATCATATAATTATTTTCTTTCCGTGTTCCGGCGTTTAGATCGAATATGTGATATACTGTGAATAAAAAAAAAAAAAAAAAAATCGTAATAAATAAAATTTAACAATTGATCAAACCTTAAGAGATATATGAATGATAGGATATAATTTCTAATTCAGCTGAAATTCAGGTTTCGAAAAGTTGCCTGGCAGATAACATTTTCTTCTTGGGAATATGGTATTTTAAAGAAGCGATTTAACATGGACAAATTTGTTTACTTTCCAAATCGGCGAGGCGAAGAATAAGTGATACAAGATCGAACTCTCAATAACTCATTCATGTATCTTTAACAACAGCAACATTTGCACAAAAGACAACTCTGGCATTATTGTCTATATAAAAAAAATTTCAATTCGTGATTTCAAGACTGAAAATACGAGATAAAAAATTTAATATTCACGAGTCTTGGTATACGGTTCAAAAATCAGAACCAACATGACAACTTTTTGATTTTCCATGTGAAAATAAATTTTAACATAATTTATGCGAACAATTTGAGCTTGAATTTGGAAAGCCCGAGAAACAATTATAAGTGACTGGAATTTTTGTCTATCATCAATTTCATAAGAATATGGACGAGCTTCTGGTTCCCATCAGATAATCCGTGAATATCTCCCGTTAAAAATCAAGAAACATATAGCATTTTTAATTCGAGCCAAGCCAAAAGGTTTGACTTGTCAACTAAATCAGCAATTATTCCAACTCTATAAATTTATTTAGCATGTAACAAGTTGATTTATTTAACGGTTCGAAAAAGATAAAATGCGCTGTGCTCATATTGCTAAAAGAATGAATTGAAAGTCATGGATCGTTCGTTATTGTCCTTTTGCGTATAATTAAAAGATTTTATGGAAATTTCCACAAAATATAGTTGAAACGCTGAATCCAAAGCCATTGATTGTATAAAACACAATGATCGTATTTTTGTTATAAATAAGGATATCGTAATTTTTTTTCTTAAGGGATAATTGCGAAATTCGGAGTAAAAATTTGTGGCAAATGTTATTTGTGGCTCAGCGTCAAATAAAAAAAAAAATCCGAATAAACAGAAAACAAACATTGTTTACACATCGAACGTTTCAAAATTATTTATAAAGAGAAATCTACTAGAAAAATAAATGATTTATTTGATCAATTGGGGAATGTGTGTAACCACCACCGAGTGAAACCTTTTAACCCTTACATACATACGTCACTAACCATACATTCACAATGCTCAGATAACCATTTTTGAATTTTTAGTTCATGTGCTTCCAATTACAATTGATATTACTTCAGAACAATAGTTGTATTGATCTGAGATTGTTTGTAAAATAATTTGTTTGACCGATTCTTTTAACCATATACAACAATAGAGATAGTCCCCAATTCAAAGTAATTATAAAAACCATAGGTTTTTGCTATCATGTTTAAAATGCTCTAATTCCACAATTGATCCTTGTAAACTTATAAATAACTAAAGAAAAAAGATATCTTTCCAGTGCAATTTTTTTTTCAATTTTTCAATTTTTTTTTTTTTTAAAAAAAAAAATTAGTCCATTTCTAAAAAAGACAGAATTTTTTTATATTCGTTTATTTTAATATTTGTAGTATCAATAAATTTACGATGGCGATGGCAAAGGATGTTAATGTCCCAACAATTACAATAACATTATCATCACAACGGAAATCGGATGTTTTATTAGAACAAGATGCCGGATTTAATCCACCAGAATACACATCTTCAAATACACGAGAAGAATTCCACACAAATTCAACGATTGCAACGACGAACGAAGATAATAATTCATCATTGACTTATCCATCACGGGCTCATATACCTCCATCTTCCACACCAACAGACTTACCAACATATGATCATGCTACAGTTGACATGCCACCAAGTTATCAATCTCCAAAATCACCGACTCTTGAAGTTTATCATGTTCTTTATGATCAAGAACCTTGGCCAATAACTAAAAAGTTATATTTCCTTGGATTTATCTTTTGGCCTCTTTGGTTTATTGGAATGGGATTCAGTATGTTTGGTCGTCATAATAGCACAAAGATGTGGGGACGTCGTTGTGCTTGGAATTCTCTTGTAATAATCGTCTTATTCATTTATCTTGTTGTTGCTTACACAAGAACTGGCGGTCGTTTAAGATAATTTCCTAAAAAATGAAAACGGACATTTTTGATTTTTTTTATAAAAAATATTTGTGAATATTATTTCTTTTTCAATTATTGTATTTTTATTGACAAAAAAATCTAGGCATAGTTTTTAAATTGTAATCTACAAACGAACAAAATCATTTTATTTTAATTTGTTCCTTAATTTCTTATTTCTTTTTTCTTTATTTTTATTTATAAAAAAATCCATTTGTACATAAATTTTTTTTTTTTAATCTTAAGTACACATTTTACCAATTTTGTTTTTAATATTTATAATTTTTTTTTATTATCCTTTGATAGGAAATAGAAAAAAAAAAAAAAAAACACCCTATTTCTCTTCTTAATTTAGCTTTTTTAAATACAAAAAAAAAAAAATTAATATTTACGAAGAAATTAATTTTATTAATCCAAGATACTTTTCATTTCTCCATAATCCATGGTCTTGTTTACAATCAATTGTGTGGATCAATGTTAGAGCTAATTAAGGGTTATTGAGAAATGTCTTTTCTTCTATTTATTAAAAGAAATGATTATGAATTTTGATAATCTGTAATCTTATTTTTTTTTTTTTAGTATAATTCCCTTTTTTTTTTTTTTTTTTTTTTTTCTTGTATTTTTAAGATAGGAGGAAAAGAAAATAATAATAATAATAATGAATATAATCTCTCTTACTGAACATGATTTTTCTCATGAATTTTTTTTTTTCAAATTTTTTTATTTTAAGAACATCAGTGATTTGTAAAAGCTTTGATTTTTTCCAACAAGCCCCTCGATTCAACCTTTTTTTTCTCCATAAACGGCATTTTCAATAAATTGAAATGCGCTTCGTTTTCAAACAATTATTTGTTAACCAAACTTGGTAATTCATTTTTATAAATATATTTCTGGTTACTAATGTGTTCGTTGACAATGAGCACTTTTTTGGTGAATAATAAGATCGTTTCTGACATGGAATGTCATTTTAGGCGTCGATAAAATATTTCTGCTTATTCACTTTTGTTTCGCATTCTGATACCTAATTATTTCAATGCAACGCGCACGACACTATCAAACAAAGGATAAGCGTAACCGTAACAAAAAGTATCAAATACAAGATGATGATTGTTTTCATTTTTTGTCATAGCATCTGAAGTGGCGCGAATGGCGTTTCTGTGACCAAGATTTGGGGTTTAACGGCTTATTCTGTTGAAATCACATTGGGAATTACAAGCCAGTAGTTAACTACACGTTGATTAAATTTGGGAGTGTCAAAACTTCGAGAAATGAATATTTATATATAATTCCTGGATAAAAATTCAACTATTTAACCGAGGAATTTAAGCTCGAAAATTTATCCGTTATACGCGTTCCATTCACACATGGGGGTTAAATTGTAAATATAATAAATATACTGTATTCGCTTTTTTATTTGTATAATGTTGCAATTAATGCAAGTCGTTCCTTAAAAACTTCAAATCGATGCACGTAATTATTGTACAATTAAGAGAATGAAATAAGAAATAGTTTTTTTTTTTTTTTTTTTTTTACGCTTTTCAAATCAAATCAAATAAAATAAAAAAGAAAAACGAGAAACAATAATCCGAGGGTAACAAGGTATCACCAAACACAGTAATAAGTGTGTCTTTTTTTAACTCGTCATCCTTTCTTTTTGTGTTAATGTTTGTACGACATACATGGCTTGCTGACCTAATTCATAAAACTGAAGGTTTAGAAGAACTCTTTGAACTTTCGTTAAACACCTTTGTCATCGAACAAATTTTCTATGATTGTCCATTCAACACGTGTGTGAAAGCCAAAGTATTTCGGTTTTGATTATAAAATTAATATCTTCGGGCAGATTCATGTTACGTAAAAAATCCGTTTGGATTTATCAAGATTATATTTCTACATCAGCTGCATTATTTACGGAAATGTAAAACGTTCCGATGACGAAAAAAAAAAAAAACCTTTAAAATTGAAATTGTGGACATAAAGATTATTATTGTACAACTTCAATGCGTTTTAGTTTATATTTTACAAAGTTACATTATTCCTCAAAGGGAACCTCTCCATCCAATAAAATTCATCGAAAGAGAAGATTAAAAATTAAAAGATAAAGAGAAAAACATGATCTTTTTAATAAATTAAAAGCTTAAAAATTACTATTGGATTTAGAAGCAAGAATGAAGAGGGGAAAACTTATGGCACAATATGTGCTCAAGATGTGTGACATGAAAACGGTGATGCAAAATAAAATAATAATAATAAAAATACAAGGGCGGGAAAGCAAATATATTGCCGAAATTAAAAAAACTAGATGATGGCCGCCTTTTTTTTTTAAAAAAAAAAAAGAATGAGGGAGAGGAGAGATAATCGTATTTTCTATATTTTACTCCCCCTTAACGTAATCTAAAAGTTCTAAGTTTTTCTTTTTTTTGTGGAATATTTTACAGCCGTATCGAGATTATTACCTTTTTTTTTTTAGTTCTAAATTGAGATTATAAATTAAATATTTTAAATAAATAAATAACAGGAACTTAAAGAGGGACCTCTTGTAAAGAAGAAATCTCTGATGATTTCTTCAAAGGTAAAATTAAAAGGTTGGGATTAAAAGTTTCGAGTTGTTTAATATCAGGTAAGGTTATTGTGGAAGCATTAACCTGAATTGGGGGAAGGGTTAAACCATTGTTAACATGATTTTGTTGTATCGGAGAAGATTCTTCGTCATCAAATCTCCGAGTACTTTGAGGTAACACGATCTTAAGAGACATTCGTTTATCAGCGGGCAACCCGCTTTGTAACAACAATTCAGGTACCCCACCTTTTTCCAATTCATCAGAGAAATCATTATTATTTTGTACATTTATAACGGGTGTTGTTGGTAATATCAAAGATTTTCTATTAATATCTTTATTATTAAATGAATCGGAAGAACTACTTCCAATCCTTTGAATTCTTTCTTTTGATAATTGCCAATTTATAAATGTTGTTAATACGTATATCCCAAATATGAACCATCCAAAAATTATACTAGTAACCCATACACCGCAAACGAATCGCATCGGTTCTCCACCTCTTAAAGAAGGTGATCTACAATTCAATTCATTTGTTCCCCTGTACATTGGATCAAGGTTCGACAAATCTAAAACGAGAGATTTTTAATCATTGTTGAAAAGAGATTATTGGTCTTTAATCATGCACGAATGATAATTACCGGATGATAACCATAACATGGAAAAGAGACTTATAAAAAAAATATAATAATAATAATAAATTAGAGTCGAAAAGAAAATATTTTTTGAACTTAAATTATAAAATTTATTAAATACAAACATTTCAACCCAAAGACAAGAACCCTTGTCCCAGAATTTTTTAAAAAAAATCAAATAATAAACTAAAAATAAAAAAAAGAATGGTATAAAATTCATTAATAGATTCCAAAATTTTCTCGTTTCCTTTTCCTTAACATACCAAGACTTGGAATCGTCAAACTGCATACAACGAGCAACCAAATTTTGGTTTTGCCGCTAGAACTTTAAGGAAAATTCTGATTAATTTTTACAAGAGATTCATCGAAAGTTCAAATGCAATTTATCTATACATACTCTCCTTCTTCCTGTGCATCATCAAACCAATCATTGTGTTGACCGGGCGTGATATAATTACCATAAGAAACGTATTGCGTTATCTCTTTACATAGTAAAAAGACGGAATTAGATGAATTGTACAGAAAAAAAGAAACCCCAAATGAAAAAAGTTTATAAACGCACCGAAAGCCACCACAAGAATCGTCAATAACAGCTGAATACATTTAAGGCTTAAAAAAAACCTTGCGTAATCTCGAAATATAATCATGGTCGTTAAAAATTTAAAAAGAGACCACTTATATATAAAAGTGATATTATCCCAAAAGAGCAAGGAAGGAGGGATAAAGTAACATTATGAAAAATGCAATATTTATATACTTTTTAACCACCGGAAGATCTATGCATTCAATCGCAATAATAAGGTCAAGTTATTAATTATCTGATAAATTTGGAATGTTGTACCATTTAATTTATTTGTTTTCATGTAAACCACTTTTTTTGTCAAAAATTATATTTTATTTATTAAATGTCCGAATCACCTTCCAGTGCCACCACCAATTAAAAACTCGGGGCTAAATTTAACTTTAATTTTCTTGTCGCATGTACCACTTACACCACTAAGACATGTAAATGTATATTACTTGTAATTCAAACTAAAAAATTATTTTTTTTTTTTTTAGAAAAATTTGCGTAATGAAACAATCGGTATGGAAATGAGAGAAACCAAAGTGAGTTTTATATACATATTTCTTTATTGTAAGAAAAAAAGAATATGCAAGAATTGAAAAAACATCTAACGGACCCGTTATTTATTTTTATGCATGTTTGATGACACACACGAATTAAATGTCAAAGCCCAATGCTTTCATCATCGTTACCAAAAAAAGATATGTTTTAATACACATATTTATATACTGTATTTATACTGTATGTGTTATCCTACCCATATCGATATGTTCGAAATTGTTCAAATTTGGAAATTCGAATAAATATTTTATGGAATTATAAAGATCGTGGCGCATGGAAAGAATTCTCGTGGCACGTTTACCTTTTCTTTCGGTAAACAATCTTGGAAGAATCACATTAATTCGAATCTGTTGAAAGTGCAGTTAATGAAATTATGTAATTTCCATTATTAACTTTTTTTGGTATTTGATTATTTTTAGAAATTAATGTCACGTGTTAAAATCTTTCGTTGAAAAAAATTCTCTTTTACATATAAAGTCCATTCTTTTTTTGTCATTGTTCAGAAGAATGTATACATCCTTGTTAGGAAAATTAAAAAATTACGTAATAATGTGGTATGATTATTTTTAAAAAGTTTAGTGGAATTTATGTAATAATATGACCCGATTATTTTATTTTATTTATTAAAAGATGCCTTTTTTACTTAATGAAATAATTATGCTAAAAATAGAATCCAATATTGTTCTATTATTACAAGGGTAACTCATATTTTCCCTCAATGTGTCAAAATGTCTAAAAATGTTTCTACCACAAAATTAATTAATTATTTGACAGTTTATAAAGTCAAAAAAAAAGTGAAAATATTATAAAAAGTTTTGTAAGAAACTATGAAAAAAAAAAAATGCTGTTTATGTAAATAATAATAAAGCAGCGACATCACTGTGCCACGTTACTCAATTCCCGTCACCTGGAATTAGCTAATTGTACCAACATTAAAGGTTTAATCCCGGATTCCAACATAACAGGTTGGGATAGTTCAGGATTTTCAAGACCTTTTTTCAGTAAAACAGATTGTCTTTGACTCGTTCTTTTCTTTATTTCGGGCGCAACGGTAGGCTTATGGAAAGAATAGATCCCTTTACGCTTTTCTTGTTTAACACGCCATGATATAAATACAGATATAATAAATATTAACATGTTTAACCAACATAATACTATGCTCGTTGCCCAAATATTGCAAATTGATGTTAATGAAGTTGATTTTGCGGATGAACAAGTTAATATTGGATGGTGTTGAAATGCAGGATCCAAATTTGCTATGGCTTTTAAATTTTAAAGAAAAGGAAAAGTTTTCGGTTAAAATCGATAATATGAATGCGAGCCGTCAACAACATCATAAATCGTCAACTTACCAGAAGTAAACCATAAAGCAGCCAACGTTCTAAGTAATTCAAAAAAAAAAAAAAAAAAAAAAAAGGATTAATTCCTCATACTAAAAAAATAAGTCCAAATAAACAACCATTGTTATACTAACAAGTCAAGGGAAAGGTAAGGTCCTTTATTCCAGATTTTCTTAAAATGATAAACATACGTTCCTAGAGGATTTAAAAAGAAAATTAAAAAATGTAAAAGGTGATAATTAAACTTCAATTACTATGTACCACTTCACTTACCGAGAGCTGCTAGAGTGAGTGAGAATACAACGAAAATCCATATTTTAACTGGTCTACCAAATTAAAAATCAATCATTATTTTTAGGAAAAAAATTTTTTTATATAACTTCTAGTTTTACTTACTCTCCATTTCTAAAAAAATTTACAGCAACATATTCGGGTGAATCCGGACTTATATTAACATATACTGCATACTGAATAAGTTCTAAATATCAATAGGATTTTAATTAGTTGACGGACTTTTATCGCAAAGGAACATTCTTTTTTAACTTTTTCCTTACCTACTGTGAGAACTATGATAGTTAAGATAATTTGAACAAATTTAAGACTATGAAATATAACTCGATGTTCTCTGAGTATCCACATTATAATAATATAAAAAATTTATCAATCGTAAAAAATTTAAAAATGAAAAAATAAAATCGTAACAAAAATCGTAACAAAAAAATCGAATTTTTCAAAATTAAAAACTAAAATCGGCTTAAAATAATAATAATTTAGTAAATCGTTATGAAATTTAAGAAAATCAAAAAAAAAAAAATAACAATAATAATGTTATTTATAACTAGAATTTTTTCAAAAGTATAATTTTGTATAATATTAAAGTCGTTGTAATATGTTCACAATGAACTTTTTTATGAACTTTTCCTTTTTTTGTTTTTTTTTTTTGGTTTTTTTTTTTTTTTTTTTATATTCGTTTATCGTTTTATCGCTTTATTCTTTTGTATAAGAGGGACTATTATACGAATAATAAACCTTAATCGCTAATTATGTAAGAACTAAAAAAAAAAAAAAGCGATAAAGGAAAAAAAAAAAAAATATTTTTCCGTTACAAATGTCCTTTTATATGAAAATTATTATTTATTTATGTGGTTGGTTCTCTATATGACAATCGTTTTTTAATGTCCATTTAAGGTCATTATAATTTATTTATGCATATGTTTTGATGATTTGTTATGAAAAGAATATTACACAATTACCATTTATAACCGAAGCGGAGTAATTACAAAGCAAAAATTTGATCCAAGCGTTTTTTTTTTTATATTGTCTTTATTTTGAAAACAAAAGACGGAATCCTCGTGTTATTTTTGGACAAACATTAAAAAACTTAAACCAATTATAAAATGATAAACGTCAAGATTGTTTGGTAAATTTGCACACAAAAAACCCTTTTAGGTTAGAATAATGAATTTGAACGAATGAATTAAATATAACATCTAAAAATAATTTTCATCATTTGATTTAATGATGCAAATCTAATAATTTTATAAATCTATAAATAAGTTAACAAGTGCCGATTTTCAGTCTGATACAGTTTCATAAATCCGCGAATTTCCATAATTATCCAGTATACGATTGTGCAAATTGTATTAAAAAGAGGGTATATTTTATTCTTTTGTATGGCAGATCGGCGCGATTCTTATACCGAATCCTCCAATGGATTAAGTGAGAAATAGTTTATTTTATAAAAGACAAAACCTACTTAATTTATCCGGTCTTTGCCAAACTTGACATCTTATTTTAATCGGAATTTAACCAGAATTAGGAAATAATAAAGTACATGATTTCCTATTTTCTATTTTAAATCGCCTTTGAAACATAGTATAGTCAAACTTCTATGTACTGATATTGCTGTTTTTTGTATCGGTATAACAAATGTAATGAATTCATCCAAATTGCCTAAGGTCTGAAATTTTGAAATTACTAAGTAATATTAAAAATTAGAATAAATATTGAAAGATAACGTTAATTTTAAACGAATTGATAATTCTTTATAATAAGATTGTAAATGAGAACATTGTTAACTTGTAAAAGGATTTTATTATTTTGTGATTTTATTTTTACATTCAGCTTTTTAAGATCATCATTTCATATTAGAATCTATATCAATACAGTTAAATTTCAATAAAAAGTAATTTAAATTTTTCAGTTCCAGTTGATTATATACAAAAAGAATAATAACTTTTTTTGAATTTTTTTCTTAGAAATTAAACCTTTTGCAAAAAATATTAATGTCAATAAATACTTATAAAATTTCAATAAACATATATAAAATCAAAAAAAAATATATATACAGTGGTGTGCAAAAAAAATGACAATTTTTACTGCGGTAGATCGTCATTATGTAACTAGCCCAATTTTG